TTCTATGTATTGTTAGTTGGCTTTCTTACGCCATAGTTTCCCAAAATTCTCTTTTCCATGACATCTCCCATTCATTCTCAGATGTCACTTACTATGTCTCATAAAAACAAATAGTATTTATCATGTAGGAAATTCTTTGATTTCCTATTCCTACATTCACAAACTTGCATGCACATATTGCATCCCCTCCTTTTGTCCTCGCACATTCCTAGAAGTATCTGGCTTCCTCAGTGACCTTGCTCAATGAGTCACCCCTCCATGAATTACATCTTCATATTTTAGAACTCTTTCCTGGCTTCTTCCTATTATGACCAAATATTCCCCGTCTTAAAAAGTAGTAAATCAATGAGTTTCATTGTCCATTTGGTTTTTCCTACTCTTCTTGAAAGCCAAATTTGTTGCATTTCTGGCATTTGTTACACCTACTTCCTTACATGCACTGTCTTCATTCTTCCCCTTAAAACTGCACCATCAGATTGACTAGTGATCTCTCTGCAACTAAATCCAACGGCTTCTTTTCAGGGCTCATCTCACTAAATAGGCTTCTTTGGAAATACTTTCTCTCTTTGGCTTCTTTTGGAAACCTTAGATTCTTGGTTTTCCTGCTATGCCTATAGTTGTCTTTTCCAATCTTTATTTTAGGCTCCTTGTTCTTAAATTTCTTTTTTTTTGGGGGGGGGGGGTGGCCATTTTTTTAAGGGTCTGCCTACTTGCCTTTGTTCGAAGCACATTCCCTGGGTTACATGTCTTAATTCCAAGATGATCACTCCAAAATCCACCTGTAGCTAAGAGCTATCTTCTGACCTCCAGACACACACATCCAAATACTTATCTCCGTTTGGATGCCTCATAAATACTTCAAACTCAACATGTACAATACTGAACTTGGCCATTTCCCTCTGTTTTATTAATTAATGTATTAATTAATGTGTTAATTAATTTAAAGGGGTCTTAGAGACATGTTCAGGAGGTTAGCTTAGGATGAGATGCCACTGCCCACTGCTTCCCTGGTTGCAAGTCTCGTGGGGTCCCTTAGAATTTAGGGATACCTGCCTATGGAGGGTGGAGAGGGGTAAGGGAATGGCACAGGCATGCTCCCCTGTGGGATAGCATGCCTTTCCTCTGGATTAGATCCTTGAAAATGACATATCAGGCCACTGAATTGACAGGAACTTAACTCTTCTCCTTCTATCTTGATATCCATTTAGTTACTAAGTCTTACATATTGTACTTCCTTAATATGTCACAAATTTGTCAACTCTCTGTTATCATTTCCACAACTTGAGCACATGCCAACTTGATTTCATGCTTGGACTCCTGAGTTCTGGATCCCCCCTTTTCTAGTTCTGTATGTCTCCATTGCATTCTCTGCCCTATATCTGGAGTGGTCATGTCACCCTCCAACTTAAAAACTTTTAGTGTTCATCTATTGCCACCTGGATAAAGTTCAAGTTATCATTTCTGATGATATGGCTCCAGTTTATTTCTCCAGACTCATTTTCTCTTTTCTACTCCCCATTTCTCATTATGTATCCCTGTCTTGTTGAACCATCTGTAGTTCCCAGAATTTGTCATACTCTGTACCCAAGAGTCCTTTCTGTGCTACCTACTTGGTCTGAAACGTTTCTGCTCCAACTTATTTTTTACTTGGTAATTCCCATATACCCTTATGTCTCTGTTTAGATGTTTCTTACACTTTCACTAACTTCTTCTACTGCATGTTAGTTGTTTCTTCTTTGTGCCACCATAGCATCTTGTAATAAGAATAGGTACAGTTGTTACTAATAACATTTGAGCACTTATTTTATGTTAGGATCTGTTTTAAGCAGGCTCTATATCTTAACTTACCTAATTCTCACAATAGCCATATTAAGTAATTATTATTAATTCCTCAAATAAGGTATCAAAGGCATAGAGAAACTAGGTAATTTTCCAAGGTTCCACAACTAGTAAGTTACACAAGTAGTTTCTGAACTCAGGAATCTTATTGGAGAGTTTACAAAAGTGAACATCATATATTTGTTCATATGGAAGCTCCGAAGACATTGTGTTGTAATTACCATTTGTAACTAACTTCCTAATTGGATCCTAGGTTTTTAGAGGGAAGTTGTAAACCTAACACCCAATACAATAATGGCCACTCCCAATAAATATTATTTGAATTAAAAAAAAGATGGTATGTGACTCAGAGAGGAAAGAGTCCTATAATCAGATTTGCCCTGACCTAGCCTGTGTCCACCATTGTGACATTTTGCTCTGAGAAAGACAAATGACTTGCTGTCATCTAGTCACCCCACACTATTTCCTATCTCCAAGAGTTTACATATCTTATCTTATTTCCCTCCTGAATCTTTCCCACTCTCATCTAACCCATCGGATCCTATTTGTTCTTCCAAATCCAGCTCAGAATTTTATTCCTGAGGGTTTCTAATCTTCTTTTCAGAGTCTAGATTCTAGTTCCTCCATATTTTATACACTTAAACATCACAAACAACATTATTAGACCATGTTTTTTTTTTTTTTAACCCAGGGTCTATTTTGTATTCACTGTCTATCCCTAGTACTTGAGTAAAGCACCTAAGACTCAGAAGGTATTCAATAAATATTTGATATATTGGTTATGTATCTGTAGATTACAAAGCAGATATTTTCAACTCTGATACATTATGATAATCTAGTGGGTTCCTACACTGACAAAGAATTAATCACTACTTGGGTTGTCAAATATTGATATACTGGGAGATATGGGAAGGAAATATTACAACACCTTTGCCTGCTTCACTTTCCTGATTTTCCCAAGGGTTGGGCAAAGGATATTCCATTTTTCAAAAGTCACTCAAGTTGTGCCCACCAGACAATTTATAAACATTTTTAGAAGGTAAGTTTATTTTCCTTTACAGGTAGACCAAAGAGGCCAAAAAACTCTGTGCAAATTTATCAGATGTCAAACCACCAATTAAATCTTATCAGGGGAAAACAACGGTAAAGTCCTGTAAATTGTTCTTGTTCCTGTCACTTCTATATCAGTGCCTTCTTTTGTATTCCACTGATGGGATCATAGCACTTTAAAAAAATATTAATGATAGCAATACCAGGGCTTTCTAACTGTTCTATGTGATTACTGTTTCTTGTTGCTTAAGCACACACAAAAATGCCAGATTACATTTCTTAAGGCTCTACTTTAATTGAGTCATTTCTCAGCTCATGAAGTCTCAGTGGCAGCTGTCCATGGAATTAGGTGAGAACTCTAAGCCAGATGTTCTGCTTCAATTCATACGCATTGATCCTGACCCATGGCTGATACCTAGCAAGTGCTTTTGATGTTTTCATTGCTTTTGTGTGTCTCTGTGTGTGTGTTCTTAAAAGTGAAATCAGGAAACCTAGTAGAAGGAAATTTTTAGTTTCTGTCTTTCCTCATTATTAATATTGTTGAATTTTCAAGAATAGGTGCCTCTTGTTAAACAAAGATGCCATATATTAAACCAAGTAAAGGCTATATTAAACAAACTATGCCAAATGAAACACATTATGATATGGTAGGATACACACTTTGGGGGAAGATAAGTGATGTTTTAATTAATGACCATTTATAGAGCTCTTCAAAAAGAGCAAAGTGGACCTGGCTGGTGTGGCTCAGTGATTAGAGTGTCAGTCTGTGCACCATTGATTCCTGGCCCAGGGCACATACCTGGGTTGCAGGTTTAATACCTGTCCCTCTCTCCCCCATCAGTCAGGGCGAGTGTGGGAGGCAACCAATCAATGTGTATCTCTCACATCAATGCTTCTCTCTGTCAAAGATCAATGGAAAAAATATCCTCAGTCCTTGGGTGGGGATTAGAAAAAAAAGTGATTTCACAACTGAAAGCTAACTCATTGTTTCTCAACTGAACTTGTAAGATGAATTTTCAGCCATGAGCACCATTAAACAAGTCCATCAGACATGAGGAAAGGATTGCCCTTGAGATGCTAGGTCAGGCAAACCCAGGGGCCAAGAGCATGCTGTTCTCTATTTGAAAACCGCTGCTCAGTGGCCAGGCTCTACCCACAGATGGGCGCTCCTGGCCTTCATCTCTTGCTTTAGGTTGTATGTCCTCATCATCTAACACATGAAAGGATCAAAGAGTTAAGAGCTCTTTAGGCTGCCAGTATTTTATTTAGTTAAAAACAAATCAACAAAAGCAAAAAATTATGCCCATTACCCTCTTTGCAAGAAACCAAAATTCAAAGTTAAGAAAGCACAAGATCTGTGCAATCAAAATAAAACCCCACCCTTTCACATACCCATCCCCTACTATAAACTGCACCACCAAAGTATATGAAACAACTTAAATATTGCTAATAGCAATCCTCAAGATGCTAACGCACTCTCAGATCAATCTCTGCCACTTTGCTGTACAAGTGGAACATTGGCAGCTTCTCTTTCAATATCCAAAATACCATTTTTGGAACAAATCTGAAGTTTTGATTCATTCAACAAACAATTATATTGAGCACCTACTATGGGTGAGACACTATGCTGGGTGTTGAGCAAGCAAAATGGGATGATTTTCTGATTTCAGAAGAATTCTGGTCTCCAAAGCAGTGCTTCTCAAACTACATTTTGTTAATTTGTGCCCTCCTTTGATAAACATAAATGTCCTCTCCCACTTCTCAGAAATTCTGATGAACCCTCCCACACTGAGACCCTCTGATACACAGAACATAGTCTCCACGTGCTGTGTATCCTTCACAGACCAAATGTCTTCGAGCTTTTACTTTTTATTACAAAAGCAACTTATTTATTTTTCATACACAAAATTGGACTGAACTATTAAATACATTTTTGAACCATGCTCTGCCCACTCCCTTTGCCCCACTCTACCCCCCACCCCGGAACTGAAATTTACATTCCTTATACCCAGCCCCATTGAGAATCACTGCTTTAAAGAGTTTTGGAGAAAACCAGGCAACTTCCATCTCTCCCCACCAATCAAGTCTGAAAGGAATTAGAATTTTCCTACCTGACACAACAGCTGGTGGAGTATCATAATCCTGTCTTGGGACTGAATCTTTGAATGAAAAGAGCATGAGAAAGAATGCAATGAAGTACAAAAGAAAATAAAACAGAATCTTAGCTCTACATCTTGGAAGTGCCCACTCACTGTATGCCATGAGGTTGCCTAACCCCCCTACCTCCAAGCTCTTCAGGCACTATGACCCTTACCCAGTTCACAGTAGTTACAATGGTCACCATAACCACCACACTGTACATGGTGTTAGGCTCCACCTGCTAGGACAGTGCACTCTGTCCTAGAACACTGTCATCTTCCTCAGGCTGTCATTACTTTGGTCACTTCTATGGGGTATCAATATGAAATCTGGACCCTCTCTGACCCAAAAGTTCTACAAGGCAGCCCATCTAGAAGGGGCCCAGAGCACAATATGAAACCAAGTCCTGGAAAAAAAATAAAGAATGGAAAATTTGAGATCAATAAAAAATGTGTACATTTCCATACTCGATGGGGGCTGATGCATTTTGATCACTCAGCTCTGACTCTGATCCCAATGGGTGTCTGTCAAGACCAAGGAGCTTTGCCTGCTGGAGCAGTGAGAGCAGAGACAAGTAGGACAATCTACTCAGCAATGATTGCTGTCTTTTTCCTAAGTGTTGTAACATTGGAGGTAGCAAATATTAGGGAAAGACTATTTAAACCACATGGCATCCATTTCAAAATTTGGGGTTATATGGGACCAAATAGATCTGTTTTTTTTGTTTTTGTTTTTTTTGAAAATGAGAAAGAGGCTTTGGTTTAGTAAATTTCTTTAGCCAGAGATCTAAAAAAGGAAAGTTGGATCTGGCCTATGGCTCAAGGCCCCTCCACCTCCCCACCCCCCTTTAAAAATGGAAAGTTCTAATCTAGCCCATTTCCCCTTGGAGGGGTAAACTGTGTGAAAAGACCAAATATCGATCACATTCAAATAAACTGCCAAAACACGGTTACATAGATGGTTCTGTGATACCCTTATTCCATTTATATGATCATTATTTCTTTAAAAAACTAAAATCTCAAACTTCCTTTTTCCATTGACTTAAAAACTTCATTTGGACTATCAGACATTTCTCCATTTAATCTCCTTGCCACAAAAGGAATATGTTAATCACTTCCTCATGAGAAGACAGATAAAAATATTGGTCAAAGATTCAAAAGCAAATAAACCTTAGGCATGAGTCATTTTGCTTCTCGAAACAGGTATGTGAACTAGTGAATTGATTATTTTCACCAAAGCTAGAATAAGTAGAATCATTTTTATAGGATCTCCAAATATGTTCTTAAATAGTGGTAGTAATTCCTAGTTCCTTTTTAAAAACTGCAATCACACATTACTACAAACAAATAAACAAACAAAAAGTTAATTTTAAGATCATGTCACTAGTCATTTTTCCACAAATACATTTATATTAAAAATAAATAATAAAAGTAAATCATGCTTATTGTTGTATACTTGGAGAATGTATAGAAATATGATTAAAATAGGAATGACCCCCTAATCCCATCACCCAGAAATAACCACATTTGTTTTGTATTTCTATAGCCTTATTTCATAAATATTTTTTCATGTTTGATACATATGTAAATTTACATCCTGCTCATAATGATAGCTCATCCTTTTCCTACTTGGTTTAATTTCTTATAACTCCATGTAGTATTGCATTCTGATTTGTGGATGGCTTATGGTTTAATCATTCTTCTTCATTAGACATTATAACGAACACTAGCTTGAACACTTTTGAGGTATAAAGGCTTTAGTGTTACTTTAGAATATTTCCATAAAATAGCTTCTAAAACTAAAACTTATTGGTCAGTCATCAGAGCTGTTTTAAAATGTCTTGACTGTCCACCTTCTATCCAACTGGGACTTTTACAAATTTAGATCCCTGTCATCACATAATGAGAATGTTTATTCATCACACCTTCATCAGCAATGCATATTATTTTTATAACTGTATTTAATGGATCAATGTGTGTATGTCTCTGTGTGTATTTGATTAAATTACTATTTATTTCATTATTATTTTTTCATGTTTTATGGCATTCTATTTCCTCTTTTACCAACTATATATTCACATTGTTTTTATCTATTGGGCTCTTGTACTTTGTTGCTAATTTCTTTGAAGTCAGAAAAAATATTTAAGCAGCAAAAACTTAATATTTGCAATTAAACTTTCATAATACTAGACTTTCACTTAATGCCTCTTCACTGTTTGTTTAAAGCAGGGGCCCTCAAACTTTTTAAACAGGGGGCCAGTTCACTGTCCCTCAGACCGTTGGAGGGCCGGACTATAGTTTAAAAAAAAACTATGAACAAATTCCTATGCACAGTGCACATATCTTATTTTGAAGTACAAAAACAAAATGGGAACAAATACAATATTTGTACTTGCATGTGGCTCGTGGGCTGTAGTTTGAGGACCCCTGGTTTAAAGACTACCTTCAAAGTTTATTTATCTTAGAATAAGACTAAACAAATTTAAAAAGCTATTCCCTTTTGTCTATATTTTCAGTCTTGTATTTGACCATTTTTAATTAATTGACACCTTTTCCTCAAAAACCATTTAAGGAGATATACTCATTGCCATTTGTGAATTTATGATATTATTTTCTAGTCTTGAGCCCATTTAACACTATGTGTTGTTCTTTATTACTCTTAGCCCTAATACTGATACGTGATAATTAAAAAAGATAATCTCTGAGCAAAATTAGTAATTCAACATTTTAGAGTAATAAAGGAGAAATGGTATGACTGAAAAAATGTTAGGGAACTACATGCACAAACGGAGTAGAATTACAAGATTATCTTTGTGAGTGGCTATGGTTACACCATGGAATCCAATGATGTCACAAATCACCAGTGGTTTGGAGAATACAAACAGAACTGCAGATAAGGAGCCTGCAGAACAAAAACTTTTATTTCTTTCAACAGATTCCGGTGACATTGTAAGCCACTGGTGACCACCAACTGAACAAATGAAAATGAGATAAGAAACTTGTAAAACAAGATTGTCATGCAATTTGGAGGTTCTCATAATACACTAAAATCCCCAGTGATTTCGGCTAAAGCTTACAATACAGTGATAAGAAATGGTGGTTAACAGGGCTTTGGTTCTATCCAGGGACTCCTATGACAAGAAAAAAAAAAAAGTGGAAAAGCTAGAAAATTCTCCAAGGTCAGCAGAGCCCTGGAATAAAACAGTTATTTTATTTCTTTTACGGCTGGGAGACTCTATCTAGCTCAAAAATACGTAGAGAATTGAACAATAAGCATTTGCGGTGGCAAATGGTAGAGAAAGGTTAAACTACCTGGCTTCCATTTCAAAATTGGGGGTTACAAGGGACCAAATATATCTTTTATGAAGATGAAAAAGAGGCATCTCAATAAACTTCTTTACCCAAGGATCTTAGAAAGGAAAGTGGGATGTGGCCTATGGACTAAGACCTCCCCGCCCCCCCTTCTAATACTGGAAAATTCCAATCTAGTTCCAACTCCCCATTAGCCCTGGACCACTGCCTACTGTACATCATTCACTGATCTCTCTCTGCTCTTCCCCTGGAGCCTATCTGTTTCTGGATGGAGGCTCCTGTCTTTATCTTGCCTCGTCACTGCTCACATCTTGTTTGCAGAATTTCAGTGAGCTTAGATGTCTGAAAGCCTCTGAAGTTACTGGTAAGAGAGACACATGATCAGATAATTTTAGATTGACTGGCTGTGGCGACATGCTGGAGAATGGATTGGAGCCCATTGAGACAGGAAGCAGGAAGAGCAGTTAGGAGACTATGATAAGTAATCAAGTGAGACCCAGGGCAGAGCCTAGAAGTGTGGAGGAAGGGATGTATTTGACAAATGTCTATGAGACTAAATTGATGGGAATTGAAAAGTAATTGTATATGGTGCTGAGGGAGAAGGAAAGAGTCTAGGCTGAGTTCTAGGATTAGCATTTGACTAGCAGAGCAAAAGGGCATGGATATGTCTTGAGAGGAAATAAAAAGCAGGAATGTGTAAGCGGAAGGGCATCAGTGGGGAAGACACCTGGGGAAGCTAATGCGATTAGTTTGGGTCATGCTGACTTTGAGATATCAGAGGGAGATTTACATGAGACAGTTAGCAAATAGTTGGAAAAATGGGTCTAAAAATGTAAGATGAGGTTAGCACTGAGGACTCAGATTTAAGAGTCTTTGGCATAGCAAGCAGAGTTCAAAACCATGAAAGTAGATGGCATGGCTTAAGGAAATCATGTATTAATGAGAAGTTAAAAAATGGAATTCTGTCTGAGCAGCCTGTGAAAGAACAGAAGCAGCAATGGCCAGAAGAGTCAGAGGAGACCTAGGAAATCCCTGGGCAGGAGTCACTATCTGAGAGCTTTTAGGGCAAACTGGGTTCAATATTCAAATACAGGGAAATGTTCCATTAAGATTTAAATATTTAATTTATCTGAAAAAATTGGAAGGGGAGGCCACCCTAGGTCTGTATGCCTCTGTAGCAATAGCGACCTAGAGTCGAGTAGTGGCTGCCTTCCTTAGAGGCAACATCATGTTCCAGGCTGCCAAGGGTGCCACCTCCCCCTACTGTTCACCTAACTCTCAGGCAGAGAGGTTATTAGTATTGCATTAAAAATATCTCTAATTTAAAATGTCATCTCCACTATCAAGTATATTTATAGTACATGAGAGGTCAATGTAGACCAAAGTTGATTCTGTACTTCTAAGCTTTTTGCTTGAATCAGCTAACTTGATTCATTAATGTGATTTGGCTGGCCTCTAGAATTTTTGAGTTTACAACCTTGGAAGAGTATGTTAGGCGCTAAGGAAGTGGAAACGTGAAAAAGAAATGTTATGCCAAACGAAACAGAGTAGGCCAGTGTGTTGTGCTGTGAACTTGTTAATTTCCTACATCCCTTCTGGTGACTTGGACTAGATTCCTACCAGTTGAAGCCACTGGATATAGGCGGGTGAGGACAGCTCATTTGATAAGCATCTATCTGCCAGATTTCACACTGTATTAGGAATGTCACATATGTCATTGCATTTAACGCTGGCAACTCCCCGGGGATGTAAATGTTATTTTTCTACTTTGTAGAAGAGGAAATAAAAGTTCAGAGAGGTTAAAAAACCTGCCTAAATGTGCATAGCTAATAAGGAGCTGAGCTGGACTTTGAACTTAAGTTTGATCCCAATGTCCACTGTTCTTTCCATGACAATAGGCAATCTTCTCAGCAATAATAAAATACAGTGAAAAGAAGTAATAGATGGGAAAATCTGATAGCCACTCCACATACCAATCAAAAATTCACATAAAATGAATCTATGATGGCATGTTGAAGTACAAGAGTGACAGTTCAAGAAAAATGTATACCAGTATTCTGGACACTAGATATAGCGGTATTTTGTTGAATAAATCAACAAAGTAATATTATTTTGTTCCTTCTGCCTTTCCGGAACCTTATGAACTTTCAAATCTTTGCAAAACATCAATTTATACAAAGTTTATCATATACATAAACATTTTTTTTTAGTACAAATGTGAAGGGAGAAAAGAATGGGAGGAAAAGCTACAGAAAATTTGGTATTAAAAATAAACCACAAATTTTAAACTTTTGCTGAGAAAGGAATGGGATGTATATCATTCTTGAATAATTTGCCCATTTCCAGCTAGGTAAAAATAGTGATCTTACATATAAGTGTGTTCTTGTTGAAAATGCTCAAATACTAATCATAATATATGTTATTGAAGCAATAACTATTATAATCCTAAATCTGTTCTTCATGTTTTAGTTTATTTTTCAATTCCCTAAAGGATCCAGTCAGATTCTCAATTAAACTTAGCTCTTATGTTTTTTTCTAGTTTGCAAATTTGAACTTCAGCAAGTCAGCTGGCTTTGCTTTTGATTCAAATGACTAGGATTTATAAAGTGTTTCTTGCTGGGCTTTGCATTATAACTCCCTCTCTTATCAGATTCCAGATTGTTATTCAGTATAATAAGATTGCAATACTTCACTTATTGAGAATTTATGATCCCTTAAGGAGATTAAGGCTGACATGAAGGGAAATCAATAGTGAGCACATGAGAAACTTGAGGCCTCTCAACACTTCATGGAGTCTGTTTTGCTGGAAAATGAGCAAAGCAATGACAAATAATTCTTAACACGGTACTAAAAGCTCTAGAAATATTATCTTCAAATTTTATCTCCCTGATGAAAATTAGCTGTGCCACAGTGTAGAGTTAAATGTCGCCTTAGATATGACTTTTAAAAGTCTAGGTCAGAGCCCTAAAAAATCATTTGACCCAGCCCAGCCTTCAGACAGGTAAAGTATCATCAACTGCTTTTTCTAGGATCAGAAACTGAAGTCTTAGAGATAGGCACTTTATGTTAATAAAATTAAACTTCTTTATTGAAACAAAGCAATTCTTTCCACTAGCTTTATGGACTTTATTCCTATTTAGAGCAGATTATTGAGGCTTCAGTGGACATGTCAGAAACATCTTATATTCCCAAAAAGCCTATGTATCAAGCAAGCCATTGCTTTAAGGTAAAATTTCCAATATATAACTAGTGCACATAGTATATGATGATATTTGGAGATGATGCTAGCATTATTGTGAAGAATCACAGAAGTGGTGACTATGAGACATATAGCCTTAAAGACACAAAGGCACGTAGTCAAAGGAGCCCAACATATCATGTTCAATACTTCAACTAGACAGAGAGAGAAATTGAGACTGGACAGATAGAAACAATAGGGCTCAATCAAGATTTGAGGCTAGAACTCCCAACTTCAAGTCCAGTGTTATTTCTATAATACTTAAGCTGCTTCCGTAAAAAGAAAATATATTTTTCTTTCTACATCTTTAAAAATGAAAAATTACCTGCCTTAACATTTATAAAAAAATAAAAACTCTTAGGAATGGTGTCACATAAGAGGTTGACTTTGATGTCTTTCACTGTTCTCTATAATGGTAATTAACAAAGTTGCAGTATTCCAGGTTGTATTAAACATTTGCCTTCTTGACTATTTGGGGAACTGTCTTTGTATGGATTTAAAAACTAACACAAAGTATTGCAAATGATTTCAAAGGCCTCACAGATATAAAATCAAGGTTGCAATGGGAACTCTTTGATATACTTTTGTTCCCTAAGGAAAAATAATGGCTAGTCGAAAATATCCCAATTTATAAAAAAAAAAAGATTAAGTATGTTAGATTCCTTTCCCATTTTTCAACATAATCTATGTCAATATAGTCAAAAGAAAGATGAAAAGAACTCGGATTATGTCAGGTTCTCAATTACTTTTTACTGACTTAAACATGGAAACTGAATAAAAAGCCCTGTATATTAGTCATAGTCAAGGTTGGCCCCTCACTGTAAGTAACCTGGGAAAGATATATTAGCTGAAGTGGTAAGCATCTGGGAAAAGAAAAACAGGCTCAAGTATATTAAGTTACAAGGTCTAGATTTGCAGGTACATGCATAAAGACACTCTTCCAAAAACAGACATTATACTTGGTGCATTTTGTTTCAAGAGCAAGAAGTAACTCAAATTTAGATGCAGCACAATACAGCCTTCAGCGTTGTCAATGTGAGTAAATGTGTCCCAGAATGGAATACGCAGGCAGAAGGCAGCTCGAACTGCCTTCACACTCGAACCTGAAAGGTGTGTTAGTCAATGGTACAGAGCCAGATTTGCTGACAATGCCAGTGAAAATAGAGAATTTCATCTTGTTGAAGAAATCCAAGAAAACAGAACAAAACAAACTCTTCAACTCACCGTTCCTGTTGTGCCCAACGAAAGGTGGTTCATCTGTTGTGTCAGGGGGCCCATCATGTTTGCTGGCTGCATTGACATTGGATGGTCCATTGTCGGCGTAATCACAGCACCCTAGAAGCACACACAATGTCCGTCTGAAAATACGTTCCACAGGAAGGAAACTTAAAACACATAAACACAGTAGACAGCGTTAACATCCAACGTGTTTACTTTACTAGTACTGAAAAGGCTAAATTCAACCATGTATAATTTTTACATCCACCCATGACATTTTCTGTTCTAAATATATAGCATTAAGTGGCTTCCTTTCCTCCAATGTGATTATTCCGTGATGTATTTAAAATGCTTGTTATTTATAATTCTAATATTTAATGTAGAATGTATTCCAAAATATCATATATATGCCCTCTCATTGTTCTAAATACTAACTTCTCTTAATTAAAAATATACAAATATGATGGAAATTCTCTAGTTTTTATTGATACTGCATAAAACTTTTGGTTTACAACATTTATCTATGATTTATATGGGCAGATTTTGATCAGCTCAGTACAATCTACCACTGTAGTGATAACACTGGTCCAGATGGGTTTCTTCACTGGATCTCTTTGGACATACTAAAATCTAGTATAAATGTAATAAAAATTCAAGTTACTATTTCCCATGTTTTAAAATTTGAATATTTTGATCTACTTTCTTTGTGTCTATGCTTATGACAGAAGATATTAAACTGTTAAATGCCAGTCAAATACAACATTGCTATACTTTTCTAAAAATGTAAAAATATCGTTTCATCAGGCGTTAGGAAAGCATCCCTTTAGAATATGCTTTTTGATTTATTATAACTATTGGAATGAAAGAAATATTACTAGATATTAAAAAAAAAAACACCCAAAAAACAAAAACCACTTCTGCCCATACACAAAGCATCGCATGGCTATTGGAGCACAGCCAGGCCACATACCCCTTTCCTTTTCCTCTGCCCTACTTTTCTGCCTTAATTGACTAATTTAGACAATGAAAGATATTTTTAAAAAATTGAAAATCTAGGGTTGGATAGGGTCTTTGATATTATATTATGCCAATGTTTTATTTTAAAGATGATGATAAAGGCAGAAGCTCATGCTTATAGCAGCTCTTTTAAACATTCTATGGCAATAACATGGTAGGTATCTGAATGCTATTTTTTCCTATAAACATTATTTTTTCACGATGTGACTTTTTCTCCATATTTGTAAGTAAACGTTTTGAAGAAATAAAACTAGGACAGATCCACGTAGACGACAGGCTTTCAGACCCCAAACTAATTACCCACAGGCAAATGTTTCCTAAAACGCTTTTGCTCAGGGTGATTAATTCCTCATGTTGCTATCCAAATCCAACTTCCCGACTGTAGGTGTTAAAAGATCAGGCTATCACTCAGCCTTTTTTATGGACTCCTCTCCATTAATATGGAGGAAGAATAGCAATTGAGCCAAATATTTGGAAATGCTTACTATACAGATTCAACTTTGCTCCAAAAGGCTTTTGAGCAAGATTCAATCAGAAAATATGTTATTTTAAAGGTCTCTAGCTTGTAAATATACACGGTTGTGGATTTGTGTTGTTTGAATGTTGTGATGCTTCTGTGAATTGTTGTTCACCAGGATGCTTCTTGAATGAGACACATGATAAAAACTTTAACTTGAAATTCAGACACACATCACAGTTTCTTCCTGCTGTCTAAATTGCTTTAGCAAAACCATCTTGATATTAAAAACAAAAATCACTTACTGGCCTTCATTTAAGAAGAACGGAAGTTCTTAAATCACTCAAATAAAAACTATATAGAATAACTCAGACTTAAGACAAGGTCTAAAGCATTTTTTTCAACCCCAAAGTGGCACTATCACAATATTTTAATCCTTAGCAGGTGCAAGACTTCAATATTCTTCTTGAACTTGGGACTGAGTCTATCTTTTCAGAATATTTGCCCCTAGAGATTCTAACGTACAGCTAAACTGTCACAGTCTTGGAAACCCCTCAATTTCATCAGCCTGCGCTAGTCACATAAAGATTGTTTGTCATAAATCAGAGATAAAGACCAAATTGTGTTTGGTAGGAAGACTTTCCTTGCAACGCCCTAGGGGGTGACCTCATTCCCCAGTGTGGCGGAGCAGGCAGACTTGAGTCTTTGTTTGGAAGGCAATATGCAAATGAGATATGTGAGTATGTGACAGATGAATCAAAATCCATGCATGATAAGAATAGAAGGATTGAATGCCTGCATTTGGAACTAATTTAGGAAGGATTGTCTGGTCTCTTTAAAACATCCTTTCTCAGAAAGTGTTTGGGGACTCACTTGATTACAGATGCCACAGAGCAAGCGCTGCTTCTGTGTATAAACCAAACACCTGACAATCAAAGGAAAGAGTGGGAAGGGACTTGTCATCCTTTGGAATTGTAACTAGCACCACTAGGCAAGGAGTGTAAAACAATGTAAGGGAAACATTCTTTTCCTACCCAGACCAGCTATTACAAATGAATGAACAATAAAATAGTAATTCTTGGGGGAGGACTGGTAAGAACATACATTCTTGTTCATATTCAGTAAAGATGTTCAATGAAAAAAGGATTCCCACAAATTATTAAGAACATTAATTTCGTAACTGTCTTAAGGGATGGAAGAACTTCACAATCAGTGAGTAAGGTGGAAGTACTTAGTAGTAGGCAGTAACCTCTTGGAGAAACACATTTTCTTGATGACACTTTATCAGGGAAGGAAACTTAAAGAATTTGATGTGCTGGCTGTTTACAACAAAGAATGGTGTTTGCAAGTCACTTTCCTCATCAAAGAATGCCCTTTGTATTGTATATGCCATTTACAAAGAAGAGAGAAAACAAAGAACAAAATAGGAAAAGAAAAACCTATGGTTGTTAAGGCCAAACTAGTGCCCTCACCTATAATTGTGTCTCATTAAATATATTGTCAAATCCATTTCTACCCAATGCATTTAAGCCATAGACTGAAGAGTGTTTTGTGACAGATGTTGCCAACACATTAAGGGTAATTTCATTTTCTCGAAATGTATAGAATGTGCTGTCTGACAGAGTTTGCTTGGCAAATGGCAAGGCAAAAGGAAACAGATTTTTCATTTTAGCATCTCCGGATGTCTGGGTTTGCTCAATGTTTAAGCGGCAAAGAAAAATACTGTAACATGCTGTAATTCCACTAAAAAGCACAATGACCAAACAGCTGATGGAAATGTCTGGTCTGTTTTAGCCACTGCCTCTGCAAAACAAAGCTGCTCACGCTCAAGAGATGGAGGGCCGATCTGGTCGCCCTAGTTCTGAAATAAACAATTTCAACAGTAATTTGGAGAAAGTTTCCAAAGATCATTGATGTGGAGTAAACACAGCTGACCTAAGGACAGAAAAGCATCTGTGTGGTTAACCTTCTGCCAATAGTTGAAAGAAATTTCAAGTCTTGGAGAGTTCATCAATATTTTAATTTCCCAAATGAAATATAAGATGATTGGCAAATAGGGGAAATGTGGGCAGGCTCTCTTCCAACAAGAGCACACAGAGCTGGCTCAAAGGCTGTATGAAACTATTGCAAATTTGCTCATCAGTTTCCCTGTTTTCTCTTATTTCCTCTTGGTCTAGCTCTAGTTCAACACAGCAACCAGAGCGATCCTTTGAAAATGTAAGTCAGATCTTGTCACTCTGAGGAGTTAGATGGGATCAGGTAGTTTAGGACAAGGGCTCCAGGAAGAGAAGATGGTAGCTAAGGCCTGGAGTGGAGACAGTGGCTAGGAGAGGTCAATGTGGGGAGAATACTTTCAACAATAAAGATTTAAAGATAAAATAAAAAAAGATCAATTAAAGCTCAAAAAAAAAAAAAAAAAAAAAGAGGAGATGAGCCAGGTGGTCAAGATGTGAGCAAGACAGGCAAACTGTACCAGTCAACTGTAGAGCTGCCCTCCCCTGAACACAGAGTGGGAACTAAAAGCAGGAAGATGGGGTCAAAAAGAGATTGGGTGGTGTTTTTTTTGAAAGAGCCAACAGAGGGCAAGAGCAGGAAAATATAAACCCCTAGACTAGTGAGCTTCTGAAGCGACCCTTTTTGGGACCCCTCTGGTGTGCCAAGAGATTTGTTACTTTCGCTGTAATAAACTTCGCTTCCCTTTGCTTACCGCTCCCTTATCCCAGTTCACATTCGAGTCTCAACTCCTTTGCTCCAAATCCTCCAATGGCTATCCCTCTTACTCAGGACGAAAGCCAGTATCAGTGCAAGGGCCCAACAAAGCCCGAGATTAATTGCCCTTTTGCGCCTTTTCTGATTTTCTCTCTTACCATTTTCTGTGTGGTTCACTTTGCAAGCACACTAGCTTCCTGGCTATTTCTCAAATATTTTCCTTCCTTCATCACTTTTTGCATGTGATTCCCCTTCACCTGGAATGCCTTTCCCCCAGATAATCTGCTCAAATGTCTCTACTCAACCCCTCTTCCCTTCTTCAGTTTCTCTCTCAGAGGGGATGTCCTGGCTTAGAGATTAAGTCAAAATTTCAAAACCAGGGTCTTGAAATGACATCCTTTGAGCATCTAATTCAAGCCTTGTCTAATGATGGCCCTATCCTTGGACTGTTATATGAGGCAATCATGCCCTGTAGAGTTTGTTACAGTATGTGGCCAACAATTTGGAAGGCATCATACATGATACACATCATCATCAGTAGTATACTTTAATCAGAATGTATTATTCAAATTTTAAGGTGATAGAATTGTATAAAGATGAGTATTAGCAGAAAGAAAAATTGTAATATGGACGACAGTGAGAAAAACACCTACATGAATATTCCTGCGGCTATCCGTACTCTAGTCCAACTAGTGACACTCCAACTTATGATCTGTGGACCTGCAGCAGCAAACTAAGGATTAGAATCAAAATCAGTCTCTCGGCTTTGTGTCTTCAAATCTGTGTTTTAATATCTCCAGATGACTGTGATGTACCCTAACGTTTTAGAAGCCTGTTTTGTCTATAAATTGCTATTGTATAAACAAATGTTATAGTTCTTAAATACCAATAATTGGTTTTATTTTATTTATACTGTTTCTCAATTATTTATTGC